TAGATCTATTTCTGTAGGTATGTATATGAGTATATATCTATTATCCACCCACCCATCCATCCATTCATGCATCCATCCACCCACCCATCCATCCAATCGTCTATCCATCTATTTAAAACTAGGAGCTCATACTAATACTTCCAATTCCAACACAACACCACAAAGTCCATTTTAATCTTCTCTCTTGCCTATTTGTAACCTCTTTCTGACAGTGAGCAACTTGGTTCTCACTACCATCAATATATTTACTTATCTGTTCAATCTTAGTATATGCATCAAGCAATTTCAGAATCACTAACCCAACATACTCCTGTAAGAAACACATTTACTAACTGGAGTATACCATTTATGATTTTTTTTAACCTTATAGTATTTGATCAAAATACTGTATCCAAAATTACTTAGGTTTCCCCCTTTCGATTGGTTATAGTAACTATGTAAGCATTTGTTAGGTTTCCCCCTTTTGATTGGTTATAGTAACTATGTAAGCATTTGTTAGGTTCATCTGTTAATGCTTGTATCCCATTACAAGTCTTTCCCACATGTTGGGTGGTTTGAACTGTATGCTTATTTTTGGGTTATGTGAAACAGGACTACGATCCTAATCAGAGCTGTAAAGAGCTGAGCTCAGCCCACCCCTAGTCCACACCTAAATCCTTCCATTTCTAGTTAATTCTTCCTGTCACCTATCCTGTTTTATCTTGTACCAAGCCAGATTCATGTTTGGGCTTTGTTCTTGACAGAACTCCAGTTTGACACTAAACTGTTTTCTTTAGTAGCTCCTACTGAGCCCTGATTTCCATGCTATGTCTACAACTTCTTTACATAATGCAACTTGCTCAACCAAAGGCTTTAAGGAAAATCATGGCTTTCCTTAATTGGGTCAGTTCTAAGATTGAAACCAGCAGCCGCTCAGGAAAGTATCTTCTTCTGCTTTAAAAAAAAAATAAAAAAAAAAAAATATATATATATATATATTTTATTGATTTTGTACAGAGAGGAAGGGAGAGAGATAGAGAGAGAGAGAGTCATCCAACAGCTGCTTCTTGCACACCCACTACTGGGGATATGCCCGCAACCAAGGTACATGCCCTTGACCGGAATCGAACCCAGGTCCCTTCAGTCCCTAAACCGACGCTCTATCCATTAAGCCAAACCGGTTTCGGCAGGAAAGTATCTTCTATGTATTTAAAAGCCTAAGCTACCATTCGACCAAACAACTGGAATGACCAGAACAGCTGGTCAACCAGTCACTATGATGAGCACTGACCACCAGGGGGCATATGCTCAACACAGGAGCTGCCCCCTCTGGTGGTCAGTGCCCTCCCACAGATAACCTCCCTCGGCCCCTCCCCTGGATAGACTTCGATCACCAGCCAGGCTGAGGGACCTCACTCATGCATGAATTCGTGTACTGGGCCTCTAGTTAATTAATAATAATTAATCCTATTACTCCTCTTGGATGCAAAGGGCCACAGGTAACTAGAAGTCAACTGGACAGAAATTCTTGAGCAACATTTTCAGATTTCTGCTACACTCCTCCTGCCTTTTTTTTTTTTTTTTTTTTTTTTAAATGTAGCACCTCAAAACAATTTGACAACATGGGAAATTATTTGTAAATCTCTGAAAAATAGAAGATTGAAAGGATTAAGAATAGTATAAATATTTGCAATAAAAAAATTACAAGTAAAAGCTGTGGTATTAGTACTCTTGGGCACAGAACAACCTCTTTAATGCTCCAGTTGTTCATTGTCCCTGTAATCAGTACTTGTTTATCAGATTAATGAGGAAGGGAGCCACCAGAGACCAGTGGGTAAACCTAAAGCCAGTTTAAAAAAACTATGGGGAGAAAAGCCAAGTGTTTGGCAATGGAGGAAACTGGCACCTGAGACCATGTACTTGTTTTTATATCCAGAGAACACTTGAATCCAAACCCGAAAAACATACAAACTTCAGGATGAGGGTAATGTGGATGTGGAAGTCACACACCATGACGTTTCCAAGAGAATAATTGAATGTTTGACAAATTCTGCAGTAAAGATAGGCCTATCCATATGTGAAGTGTCTCCAGTCACTGAAACCTTGTTTTACTCTGACAATAAGACCACCTACTGATGTGAGGGTGTACAGGTAGGATTATGGACTTGAGGAATATGGAAACAGTTATGGGTAACCCCATAATTTTTTCATTTATTTTATAAGGGGAGCCAGAGTCACAGTCTATGTTAATCCAAGAAATATTCTGCCAATTCAGGGGACTTCAGTAGCATATTAGAAGCAAGGGCATCCAAGTCAAGACAGATTCAAGGATGACTCCTGGCCTGGCCACCACCATCGGTGTATCACTGGGTTGGAAAGCCTCCTAAGCCTTTATTTCTTCATCTCCCATGGTCACAATCATATCAACGCATAGGTGTGTGAGCTTTAAACTCAACGTGAAGCACTCAGCAGTGCCCAGCACAAAGCAGGCACACCACTGGAAAGCAGAGCCCAGTAGCTAAGGGTGAGGATTCTGGACCCAGCCGCCATTGCTAGGCCACTCATTACCATGTGATGTTTGAAAAGTTACTTGCCCTCTCTAAGCTGCTGGAACAGGGCCAGACTTATCACACTCTAAAATATTAGGGAGGATGACTAACTAGGACTGTTCAGTCAGCCCAGGAGAACAGGGGGAGAGCCCGGTGGTAGAAGCAAACCAGTACACAGAGCACCAGGCTGGTGCAGGGATTAGGGAAGATGTGCTGGCAGCACAGAGCAACAGCTGACTCCACACCCAGCCATCTGTCCACGGTGTGTCAAAATCGAAGCTGAAGTCAGGAGGACAAGAGGGGGCACACCTATAGGAAACCTATGATAGCCACTAGGCTGCAAGGAACAATGAACTCTTGCTCATGTGCTATGCAAACCCTACTCTGCAGGCAGCCTGCTAAAGAATCCATGGTTCCAGAGAGAACACACGTTTGTGGTGAGCGCGATGCTAAACTCTAGAGTACTGGGTGCCCGCTCCCTTCTCTGCATTCATTTATTCTCTGGCATATTTATTTAAACAGTGCATCTTTAATACATGCCACATTCCACCTCATGAAAAAAATCAATAGAAAGAAAACAAATGAGCTGTTCTGTCCTTATTTCTTAACATGATAATAAACTATCACCTCTCACTGTATTGACACTGCTACATAGGAAAAAGCTGTTTGTACCTTATGCCACTTACACTCACATGAACTTTCTGGAATTTTTTTTCCAGGCACGGCTGTCTCGCTCATCCTCTTTCTTCCCTCTTAAGCTTAAGGAAACAACTGGATAGGAAGAAGAGGTATCCCAGGTTTTTGAGTGCACAAATACCTTGAAGTCCACATCCTCTCATCCTCCATTCAAGAATCTTCTGAAAGCTCCATTTCCTTATTACTCATACGGAAGCAAAACAATCTGAACTGACCCAAACATATAAATTTGAAAATGTGAACATCACACCAGGTGACAATACATTGCTCGAAACCCCACTAAGGGCTCTGATTGGAATGTGCATTATTTTATTCTCCTAAAACCTGTATCACTGGTCCAAAACCCCTACATTTCTCACTGAACTGAAGCAGGCCCCAAGATCTTCAGACTCAGGATTGTGGACCTCTAGGAATTCTGATGTCGTTATGTTCCAAACACAGCTTTGTGAAAATAGCTGGTGAGGAAGACTAACATTATCTTCTTTAAACCACTTCTTTTAAAACCAGAACTTGGCTGGACCTTCATGTTGCTGATCTCATGATTTAAAATGGGCAAGAGTCACTCAGAAACTTCACCCCAAATTTTGTCCGCCCCTCAAGTGACTGCAGGGTAACTCATAGTATCCAGAGATTGCAGAAAACACCCAGAGATTCAGGACATGAGCAGATACATGGGGCACACATGGGGCCACCAAGAACATGCATGTTCCTTTTTAGGGGGCACAAGCTTGTGGGAACAATTCAGTTGGAAGCCTGGCCTGCTCAGGACCCTGTAAGGCGTGGGTTTAAATTCCTGCCCCAACCACTTGCAAGGCATACAGTGTGGGCAAGTTTATTGTCTCTCTGGACTTGAGTTTCCAATGGGTAAATCAGGAGATTAAGGATTACTGGACTGAAACTAAACAGTGCACCTAATCCATAGGAATACAGGTAGCTGCTTTCCACATCCTTTCTACATGTTCTTTCCTTCTCTGGGGGAGACACCATCTAGCGGCAAGTTGTAAGGTAGAAAGCTCAGTGATCACGTTCTTCCATGTGGACAAGCTCATAAGCATTTCTGGTGCATGTCTATGTATTATAAGGTGGGAGGGAATAGATTGATATTGAGGTCTTTGAACCAAACTTGACATCAGAACCTCCAAGGGAAACAGTTCATTAACAGAGATGGGGGAATGCAGGGAGACCAGCTGTAATGCAGGGAGAGGAGCTGTCCAGGACCCGGGGGCTGGGGACAGAAATGTTGTTTAGGGACACTGGGGGGCTGGAGACAGAGATGTTGTTTAGGGACACCGGGGGGCTGGGGACAGAGATGTTGTTTAGGGACACCGGGGGGCTGGGGACAGAGATGTTGTTTAGGGACACCTGGGTGTGGCTGTGCTGATTCTCAATTTGGCTGAAGAACTGGGAAAGCCCAGATGCATGTGGACCTTTTCACAATCAATAGTTCTCTCCCCTGGCTGTGCAGAACACCAAGCCCACCCTAGATTCAGCTAGTATGGCATTTTCAAGGTCTCCAAGCTGCTGCCCACAGATTGAGGGCATATGCTCAGATGCAGCCAGGAAGGGCATGTTCTAGATACCTCTTTCCTCCCATGCTGAGAACACAAATATCTGGCTTGCGCCCCCCAGCTGCTGATTAGAAAAGGAAAAATACACAGCAGGGCCCCAAAACAGCGCAGGAGTTATCAGAAGCACAGGGCAGAGAACAAACAGTAATGTGTAACTGAACAATGGTCACGTGTGCCACATGTCCGAGATTCACCAGCACCCTCCTACCTGGGCTCGGCCTCCCACTCCTCGTCGTCCTTGTCTTTCTCTTCTTTGGTGTCTCCAGAATGCGGGTGTTTCTGCACAATTCGCATTCCACCAGCTTTCACTAGAAAGAAAACAAAGAGGATGTGGTCAGTGTGGAAACAAAACCCCAGGAGGATCAGAGGAACCAGCTCCGAAGTTTTTAGTTGCTCCATGGCTACAAGTCAGTACAGATAACCTGGCATCAGTGGCGGTGATTAACAGAAAGTCAGTGCTGGCGGGGGAAGAGTCACTATGACAGAGCACTCAGCCCAGCCGCACTGCAGATCCACTTAGGAACTCCCCATGGCGTCTGTTTGCTTCTGGTCTCATAAGTATTTCATAAGAACAGTAGTGTAACCAGAGTACAGATCACTGGGCAGTGGCTGTTGCTTTAGGTCCTGCATGTCTTCTTGACACTACAAGATCCAACTGAATCCCTGCCCCATGATACTTGCTCAAATAATGATGCTTTAAAAAAAAAAAAATTCTGAATAGTCCTGCATTAGTTTTTATTTTTCAATTATAGTTGACATACAATTTGATATTAGTTTCAGGAGTACATCATATGACTCAACGTTTACAAACCTTATACAGAGTGATCTGGTAAGTCTAGTACTCATCTGTCACTGTAGTTATTACAGTATCATTGACTATGTTCTCTATGTTGTACTTTACATCCCATATTTTATAACTGGAATTTTGTACTTCTTGATCCCCTCCCCCTTTCCACTCATCCTTTCATCCTCTCCCCTTTAGCAGATATCAGTTTGTTCTCTGTATCTAGGGGTTTATTTTTTTCATTTTGTTAGATTCCACCTGTAAGTGAAACCATACAGCGTTTGTTTCCATGACGCTTCCGATGGGATGACACAGCTGCAGGTGACATGGGACAGCTGCTGCCACATTCACGGAGGCTGCTCAGGTGGCAGCAAAGGTGTCTGCTAAAGCCCTTCCCAGACTGTGCTGTGAAACCAAGTGCTGGTGGATGTCAAGTTAGTTTTTCAAAACAGTTTGACATATAGTTCACATAGCAATACAATTCACCCATTTAGAACATACAACTCAAAGGTGTTTGAGTGTATGTATTCGGAGTTGTACAACCATTGACACGATCAACTTGAGGACACTTCATCTCCCCAAACAGAAACCCCAAATCACAAAATGGTCACCCCTTAATGCGTCCTCTCCGCCAGCAACCAGTCATCTGGATTTGCCTATTCTGGACATCTGACATCAATGAAATCATAAAATGTGTGGCCTTTGCCGACTGGCTTCTTTCATTCAGCATAATGTTTTCAAGGATCATCCATGCTGTAGCATGTGTCAGTATTCATTCTTTTTTATTCCTTGTTTGGGTAGACCACATTTAGTTCATCAAATCATCTGCTAATGAACATTTGGTTGTTTCTACTTTGGCTGTTATAAATGATACAGCCATGAACAACTTGTGTACAAGGTTCTGTGTAGATACATGATCATACACCTTCATTTTCTTAGGTATACAACTAGTAGTGGAATAGCTGGGTTAAAGAATAACAATATATTTACAATTTTGAGAAACTCTAAAGCATCATTTTCTACTCCAACCAGTCTTAGGGCTCCAATTTCTCCACATGCTCACCAACACTTGTTACCACCTATCTTTTCAGTCACAGTCACCCTAGTGGGTCTGAAGTGATATCTTATTGTAGTCTTATTCCATTTCTCAATGGCTAGTATATTACAATAAAAAACAAAAAATGTGGACTCTAGGATCTGTTAAGCGTGGGAAATGCTAGGTTGAATAGCATTAAATGGGTTTCATCAAGCCAGATGTCTTGCCCCCTCGTGTGCACTGTGAAGCCCTATGAGGCGCACAGTGTGCCGTCTTTCCCAAATGCCTTTGACCAGTACTTGTATCCCAAGTAATCATCCTTCAGGCCTATAGTGTTCCACAGGATACAGTTTGGAAATGCTGGCCCTGTGGTCACGAGATCGGGCTTTGTGCCAGTAAGCTCCTCCATGTCCTCACCTATGTGGTCTCAGACTCAGCCCCTCAAAGCCTCACTGTTTCATCTGCAGAATGGGGATTAGAGCAACATCCTACAATCTACACATGTGAATGAGAAGAGAGGCTATTGAAATCCTAATCCACAAGGTGATGGTGTTAAAGGTGGGGCCTTTGGAAGATGATTAGGTCATGAGAGTGGCAGACAAAAAACGTAAAAGCTGTAACTCACAGATGTTTTCTAGAGACCAAAAGTGAAAAGGGCTGTGCAAGTGACTACAAAGAAAACAATGCATGTCCAGGTGACATTTAAAACAACCGTCAGCCGAAACCGGTTTGGCTCAGTGGATAGAGCGTAGGCCTGAGGACTGAAAGGTCCCAGGTTTGATTTCGGTCAAGGGCACGTACCTTGGTTGAGGGCACATCCCCGGTAGGGGTGTGCAAGAGGCAGCTGATCGATGACTCTCTCTTATCGATGTTTCTAACTGTCTATCCCTCTTTTTTCCTCTCTGTAAAAAAATCAATAAAATATATTTAAAAATAAAAATAAAAAAACCATCAGCTGAAGCTCACATGGAGTGACCTGTCCACCTCTCCGTTGAAGTAAGTCCACATGAAAAAGCTTGGTTGCTCTGCATTAGCCCTTCCTTTAACTTAGTTTATAAAAACAATTAGCTTCACCCATCCCTCACAGTATGTGTGATAGCAAATGCAGCCATAAAAAGTGGCAATAAAAATAATAACTCAGGGCTGAGACAGATTCATTTTAACTTGAAATCCTGCCAAAAATATGACAGCATGTATTTATTGGGATTGTTTTATCATTGCCACTGGAGCTCTTCATTTGTGAAAATACAAAAGCAGAATTATTTTTGCAGACATCTTTGTGGAATATTTGCAAATATAAGTAGTTTTATGAAAGGCATTAGAAAAAATCCTAGATTTTTGTTGAGGTTGTTATTCAAACGAGAGCTTCAGACTTAAAGAATACGAAGCTTCCTCCCAGCAGAAATGCCAGGCAGAGGTTAAGGACATGGATCCTTGAGCCAGACTCCTGGGCTCAGGTCTCTGCTCTGTCCATGTGCTCGCGTGCATGTGTCTGGGCGAGCTGCTAACTCTATCTGTGCCACAGGGTCCCCTGTGCGTGAAAGGTGCCAATGCTCTTCCCCTGCTCCCCAGGGGTTCTTTGAGGCCCAAATGAGCAAACACTTGTGACACAGTGCCAAAGGGGCCTGGCACACGGCAAATGTCCATCTATCATTTACTCTCATTAAATGGGTTTAACAACTGGCATCAAGTACTTGGAGAGAACTTCAGTCTTTGAGTCCTTGGAGAGAACAATGTCTCCTCACTGAGACAATGTCTCCTCCTTTATGTAAAATGCAGATGCTACCACGACTCGTGGGGTTGTGAAGGAATGACACCCTGCAGACTGCTCCCCACACGGCTCCGCCCCTCGCCAGGATGGCGTCAGTGCACCACCGCAGTAAGGAAGCCTTCTGGAGAATCGCAGATCCTGGATAACTAACTTTACTGCTCTCACCTCGCTGTGTGCCAGGCAGTGTTGTAGCCACCGGCCACATGTCCTCACACTTTGCTGTAACGCAGGTTGTAGGTCCCCAGACGTGAAGTGGCGGAAGCCAGTGGCCCAATCACACAGCCAGGATCGCAGAGCTGACTGGACCCCAGCAGCCTGTGCCCTGAACCCCTCCCTGCCTTTCCTCCTCAGACTTTCCAGGAAACAGAGTATCATTGCTCCTCAGAGAAACACAAAGCTCTGGCCTGTGGGCAGGTTCTGGGGCTGCACCCCAGGTGGGGGTGGACTTGCCTTTGATATTAAAAGTTCTCTGTGGAGCAGCTTCCTGCCCAAGGGACAAAGGGGGTGAAAGTCGCTTGCTTCTCAGTCAGACTTGGCCAAGTAAGAAATAACGAGGAAGCAACTGACCACATACACTCCCATGGCCGGGCAGCCCCTCGGGTGTCCAGATGCCTGCTGGGAGAGGGAGTCCTTTCTACTCCTGCTCAACACGCTGGAAGGCCCAGCACCAGAAGGCGGGCAGGAGATGGATGAGAGGGGTCTCCCAGGGCCTCTCACGACTGTAAGTGCCCCATGAACCAGGGTGTGGGTTTTAGCAGGGAGTGGGAGGGGCTAATTCATACACATGTCCCTAAAGCACTGACTCAGGCGCTAGAGTTAGATTTCCAAGTGTATGTCATCTTTGTTCTTCCTGAGAGAGCTACTGGAATGTTATTAAAAGGAAAGCCTTAGCCGGGACCGGTTTGGCTCAGTGGATAGAGCGTCGGCCTGCGGACTGAAAGGTCCCGGGTTCGATTCCGGGCAAGGGCATGTACCTTGGTTGCGGGCACATCCCCAGTAGGGGGTGTGCAAGAGGCAGCTGATCGATGATTCTCTCTCATCGATGTTTCTAACTCTCTATCCCTCTTTCTTCCTCTCTGTGAAAAATCAATAAACTATATTAAAAAAAAAAAAGGAAAGCCTTAGAAATGCCACGGTCCACCCTGAGTTGGGGTTTTTGAAAAAATGTAGTGACTAAAAGGGTCTCCTTTTTCTTGGCATGGCCAGAGCGAAGGCAGACCTCCTTGCTGCATCTTCAAGCACTGATCAGTGATTGGGCCAAGGACACCCAGGGGATGCTTGGCAAGCTGTGCCCATAGAGTTAATACAATAAAAAACTAACTAGCTGTCCATTTCCAGCACTAGAGTGGCCTGGAGAACATAAAAACCTTTCTGCAGAAGACAATTCAGGGAGAACCTCACCCATAACCTTTTAAATGCACCTTTAACTCCTGTCTGACTAATATAACAAAGAATTGGATTATTCTGAAATCACTACAAAGAGTAAAGTGATCTATTTCTCATTTTACTTTCAATAAATACAATTGTTTTCTACTTCCATTTGACTCGGGTCTAGAAGGGATATGAGGCCTTTTTATAACCTTATGTGAACTATTAATGTTCAACAAACACTATTACATATCAGGTTTATAAGAACTTTACTGACATATGGCTTTGGCTCCCCTCACAAATGGAGAGGACCGGGGCCAGCAAAATGTATTTAACAACGAGATGTCAGCCACTTCACTGCTACAAACTCCTGAAGACTGGGCGAAATGAGTAATCACGAGGCTTATAATTATGTCCGCCTTCTGCCGAGGCAGCCTCGGACTGGTGGATGGTCAGACCTCACTAATCTTCTCTCTGCCAATCCGCATTGGCAGTAGCTCTCCTAGAACAGCAGCCTCCGGCCACTCTCTGCAGATGTTCTGTAGTGGACAGCAGTGGAGAGGTCTGAAACCATCCAGGCGGGATTACTTCCACAGGGCACGGCCAGCACCATCCCACTGTCCAGTGGCGTGTTCTGTATGTGCACAGCGCCTCCCCTCCACACTGCAGAAGCCTGTGCCCACGGCCTCATTAATCTCACACCCCAGGCAGAGACGCAGGGCGTGTGATGGAGCCCCTTGTGCGAAGGGCTGCCGAGGTTCCTAGAGGCAAAGGACCTACAGGCTGGTCCCCCTGAACTCACCAGCTTCGAAAGGAGACACTCCAAATGGTTGGCCAGTTTTTAGAATGTAAGGTAACTAACTGTCAGTTAAGTGAGTGAACAAGAGGCAAGGGCTTAAAATAGTGCCAGTCAAGAGAATCAGAATACACCATCATGAAATATGCCTCTTTGGTAGAAGGGCCATTTTGAGCTGATTAAAATCAGCAGAGAAGGAGAAGCTCAGAAAACTGAGAAGCTGTCCTTTTGTAAGGGATGTTTACATTAGTAATGGAAATTCCCCTTTGTAGGTGCCTCCCTCTTTGTACTAGAAAGGGAAGCAGGACTAAATCACAAGAGAACCTGGAATCTGGAATCTGTATAACAACCTTACCCTGGTTTACCTGGCTTTTCCCGGAAACCTCCCATAACTGGCTCCCTACTCCCCAATTTAAAAAAATTTTTTTTTATTTGTATTGTTAATTCTCACCCAAGGATATTTTCCCACTGATTTTTAGAAAGAGTGGAAGGGACAGGGAGAGACAGAGAAACATCGATTGGCTGCCTCCCGCATACATCCTGAAAAGGGTGGGGGATTGAGCCTGCAGCTGAGGTATATATGCCCTTGACCAGGATCAAAGCCAGGACCCTTCAGTTCACGAGCTGACGCTCTATCCACTGAGCCAAATTGGCTAGGGCCCCAATGTTTTTCTTTTGTCTTTAGTTGAAGTTGAAATTTATGGTGGCAGCTTGGGCCATTTCAGGGAATTATTCAGTTTTCTTGGGACCCTCCCATGTATAGAGGAGGTATTCCTGTTAATAGACTTCAGTTTGGTTTTCTCTTATTAATCTGTCTTTATCACAGGGGATGGGGAATGGTGTCTCAGCCAAGAACCTAGAAGAGTAGAGGGAAAATTATTTTCCCTCCCCTATACCAGGCACACGGTAACACTGAGCAAACGTTGTTACTACTTGCACTTATGATGCTATCTGAAGTGGATGAGAGCCACACCTGCATCCCCAGTGCACACAGGAGACAGCGCAGAGGTAGAGAACACTGCAGCCCTGCGTGCTCTGGGGAAGTGACAGGTGCTAAGAGGCTCTGAAGAAACTCACTCAGATGCCACTTACTTCATATTTTTGTGCCAGGCACTGTGCCAGCTCCTGGGGAAGAAGATATCACTAAGACCCAACCCTGGAAGCAAGAAGAAGAGAGGCAGACAGGTGAGGTAAACGTCACAGGTAATTTGGTGAGAATGCCCTGGATACCTGGTTCAGACAGCAACAACGAGAGAAAACACAAAAGAACATGAAGACAGTAAAGAAAAATAATTTTATTGTTTCTGATTGAGGATTTAAGCACAAGTCTGTGTTATCCAATGTAAGCACTTAATGAAAGTGTACCCAAGGTTATCAAGGCTATTATTTTTGATTTATGAACTGTGCTCTTGGATATACTTGATAATTACCTTTATTATAATGAGTTGCCTTTATGTTTCTCTGTTTTCACCATCAACTCTGCAGTATGTCCTCTTCTCTGGCCACGCCAGAGTAAATAAGAATATCCAAATACCCCCAGCTTTTTGCTAAAAAGAGCTCTCCCACAGGAAAGTGGATCTGAGGCAAAATGCTGCATATGACAAAACCTATACCTCTGGACCAAGATGCCAGGTCTACCTCTAACTCTGGGCAAATACGGCCTTGGAAAATGGGGAAATGCCAGCAACAGTTCTCTAAGCAGTTCCTGTGAGATTGGGACCCCAAAGGCTAACGGATCTTCCTTGAGGTCACTTGAAGAGGTTGTCTGTGAGATTAACTGCCCTTGAACTTGGATTCTGATGTCTGCAAGGGGGGAGCTCCAGTGAGAGTTACAGAGGCAAAGGTAGCTCTGCTCTACGACGCTCCCAACCCTCCCGTTTCATAGATTAGAAAAACCGAGTTGCTGTAGAGAAGCGATGGGTCTCAAAACTTAGAACTCAACCTCACTGCTACACCAGCACAAGTGAGGTGGCTCCTCTCTCCTTTAGGATAAATAAGCTATCTAATTTGTAATTCACAAAGCTCAGCTGTTTAGAATTCGAAGAAAACCAAAGCCCTTCGTGGAATTTCCCCAGGGAGTTAATAAGCACAGCTCCCGTCTGTGATCTTAAAGGTCTCCACGTGGAAATGCCTCCGTGTGCAACGTAATTACTCCTACCTTGATGGGGTCTCATTCCAACTTAGAGCTGTCCTGCCACTCCTTGCCCTGGGACGGGGGAGTGTAAAGAAAGGAGTTCCGGCCTGCCGTGCTGCCAGGTCATCAGGCAGCCAGCAGACGGGCGTGGGCCCACTGAGGTAGACACTAAAGGTCAGGTTATCTTTACAGGAAATCTCTTTGAGGTGCTTTTTATTATTATTACTTTTTTAAACGAATGCCACACAATGGCCCCCAAAGCCCAGTTTGCACGACAGCGGAACTCCTTTCTAAAATCCCAGGCCCGTTAAGCCGCAGGCCTCGGTTAGCCATTTCCCCTCCCTAGTCCGGGGAAGTTTTTGGTTGTTATTGAGAGCTTCTTTCAGCTGAGCAAACATTAGCTTGGGAGCGGCTCTATTCACGTGTTCACGCGGAGAACCAGTGCCCTACCCTGGGGGGGCGGCGGGCGGAGATCACGGAGTCTTTGCAAGAAGAAGGTGAGACACATATGGGCCCCACAAAGCAGCCAATGCCCCCCCGGGGCTTCTGTCTTTAGGAGATGAAGTTTACAACCCATATGTGTGCAATTAACACCCTAAGAGCATCCCACAGGTGGAGGGGGCCTGGCCTCTGGGACCCAGGCGCCTCCCATCCTCTCCCAGGATCCTTCCACCTGCAAGGGCGGAAACGGAGCAGCTGGGACAGGACTGGGGTGGGACTGTCCTGGGGTGGGACTGTCCTGGGGTGGGAAGGCGCGTGAGCACACGGGGAGCTCAGGTTCAGATGTCCCATGAAAGTCCTTCCTGGACTTCACTTCCAGGGCCCAGAATTTGGAATTTGAAAACACAAACAAGACAACAATCCAAAACACCCCCCCTCCCCAAAACTCCATTTTGGAGAAAAAGCTGAATGTGAAAGAAATTGGGGGACCCCTTCATAGTGAGTGATTAATGGTAAAAATGATTTCCACCCTTTTGATTCTTTTTTTCAGCATGAAGCGCCGTCAACCAACAATCACCACCTCGTCAAGAAAAACATGAACTTTTGTGCCAGCCACCCGGTTTTCCGAAACATCTGGACCCTGCGTTCACCGCCCCGTTAGCATTACTTTTTTTTTTTTTTGAAGTTATGCAATTAGGCTTATTCAAGTCATTCCAAATTTGCATGCAACGGCCACAGGCTTGCGATGGTTCCCCAACTTTCAAGAAATGGGTTTTGCAAAACGCGGGGTTCAGTTCAACCGAAGATGCCACGACTGGGCAGGTCCCAGGCTGGTGAACAGCCTGCCCGCCCCGCGCCCCGCGCCCGCGGGTTCGAGCCAGCTCTCGGGGCCCAGGACGGGAGGGAAAGTGGAAACGAGTCATTACCAGCGGGCGGGTGTCCGGCTTTCGTCTCTGGCTTCTCCTCGGGAGGCGAAGACATGGTGCGGCCGGGGCGGCTGGGACGGCGGCGGGGATGCTGGCAGCTCGGAGGTCCGGAAGGCGTGCGCACGAGCCGGAGCGAGTGAGCAGCGCGCGGGGGGTGTCGGGGCCGCGCGCGGGAGGGCGGACCGCGGCCGCCGTCGGGGGGCGCGGCCGCCGCGCGCCGACGTGGCGCTGCCTGGCCCGCGCGCGGCTGCGTGTTGACGTCACCGCGCCCGCCCCGCCCCGTTGGCCTCGGAGCGCCCAGTGTACTGCGCATGCGCAGTCTGCAGCGCCACGTCGGAACCTTCAGCTGCAGGCGGAGGAGGGGATGGAGGGCGGGGCGGGGCGTGTGCGGTTGGGCTGGAGGTTGAGAAGGCCCAGCTTGAGGATGGCTGCTTCACCAGCCCCGGCTGGATAGAGGTGACAGCGGTGGGAGTGGAGCCATCACAGGGCCGCTCCAGGCCTAGGGTGTGTGGTCAGGGGACCGCCTGCCAGATGTCCTGGCCCAGCTCACCCTTGGAGTGACTAATTAGGTGGGAATGAGACCCAGGCCCGGGAGAGCAGGGGTTTGTTAAAACAGAGAAGGGCGGTGCTTCTGAAGCCTGGACAGAGGTCTCGGAGGGCTGTGTCTGTGCCCACTCCCTCTGCCATCTTTCTGTTGCCAGGGTTGATGATTCTGTCCAAAGTGGACCTTTTGGTCTTGTGATCTGGTTTGCATACCGTTCGCCTTCTCAAGCACTTGGCGATGCCGGTTATGCTTTCCCTGAACCAGGCTCGTCTTGCTGGATAGAGTTGAAACATGCCTCATGTCTTTAGAAAAGGAAACACTGCTACCTCTCTTGACTGGACCTTTGACAGTGCAGGTGCCCAAAGAGGCTGGGCACCTCACTGTCTCCTTCTCTCCCTCCCCCCTTCCTCCCCCCCCCCCCCCCCCACACACACAAACAACCTAGTCCAATCCTTCTGGCTATCATCCAGGTAGCTAGACAGAGGCTGACCCCAACCACAGAAATCTCTGTTGTCAAGGTTGCTCATGATCTCCAAGCTGCCAAATCCCCTGGTCACCCTTCCACTCTCACCCTACTCCACCTCAGCAGAGTTTGACCTAGCTGACTATCCCCTTTCTCCATTTCTGGGATGCCACATAACTACCTCAGCACACAGTGTTGAAGCAACCTTGGCTGCTAAATCTCAGTAGGGTTGGCTGGCTTCTGTTTTAGATTTCTAAATCTTTGAGTCTCCCAAGGCTCAATGCCAGCCCTCTTTCTATCTAGACTTTGTCTCAGTGGTCACATGCAGACCCGGGGTACATGACTATCATCATCTAAACCCTTATGGATGCCAAATCTGCAAACCTATTTCTCTATTCCTGCCTCTCCCCTATGCTCCAGACTCACACCCCATCCCGCCTCCTTGACCTCTTTACCTGTACGTCTAACACAGCATTGCCAACTCTGCATCACAGTGCACAGATAAATGAACATACCATACATTGAACTTGGACTTTCCCTCTCACATCCTATATAATAAAAGGCTAATATGCAAATCAACCAAACAGCAGAATAACCAGTTGCTATGACACGCACTGACCACCAGGGGGCAGATGCTCAATGTAGGAGCTGTCCCTTGGTGGTCAATGTGCTCCCACAGGGGGAGCTCCACTCAGCCAGAAGCTGGGCTCATGGCTGGCTAGCACAGTAGTGGTGGTGAGTCCCTCTCCCACCTCCATGGCAGTGCTAAGGATGTACGACTGATGGCTTAGGCCAGCTCTGTATGAGGCCTAAACCATCACTTGGACATCCCCTGAGGGCTTCCGGATTTTAAGAGGGTGCAGTCTGAGCTGAGGGACACCCTCCCCCCTCCGAGTGCACGAATTTTCTGCACTGGGCCTCTAGTTTAAATATAACTAAAGGCAGGATAGCTGTTGGCCAGGTTGATAATGATAATAGTCATCATTGTCATCCATTCACATAAAAACTTGCAGACAGGTATCAGTAGTTTGGAAGAAAATCTTGAAGTCAGTAGTGGAACACTCCTAAGAGAGACAGCATGGCTAACACTCTTGAAGGAACAGAGCAAGAAAATTTATAGATACTGACCTGGATTCTAAATGGAAAGAACTTTAAGAATACCTAATCAATTAATCTTACGAACATTTTTAATGTATGTGCAACAGTGCTGTATGGTTAAAAAGTCATGTCTTAATAAGTCTAAAACTATTTGTAAGAAGTATTAAATAAAAATTCTATGTTAGAAAACATTGTTTTTGTTTATTTGGCAGTATTTCCCCCCAGTGGTACATAAAGCTGCATGTTATGCTTGATGGTATCTTCTATTTAACGGCATATGGTATCTCTAGGGAACCCTGGGATAAAAGAAGGATCTTCCTGAGGAAGGAGCCAAGCTAAACAAAGGCCCCAGTAGCCCCAAACACCACTGGGCTGTCCTAAGGCATGAGAAAACCCATATCTTTGCCTGAGATCTGGTCTGGACCTACAGTGATGGGGTGAGCCATGTCTAGTTTTACAAGTTCAAAGCAGAACTCCTCATTCACCCACCAACCCACAAATACCTTTCCACCTGGAATAAATCTCACACTTCTCATTACAGTGTGGAACATCTATCTAATTAACATTCCTAATGAAGAAAATACTGTTGTTTAAGGAACATAGCTTAAAAAAACACACACCCATATTTCCAAGTCTCCCTGCCCAGCTTTCTCCACTGTATTCCCAGCAATCAACACCAGAGTAGGCCCTGACTGGTTTGGCTCAGTGGATAGACTGTAGGCCTGTGGACTGAAGGGCCCCAGTTTGATTCCAGTTAAGGGCATGTACCTTGGTTGCGGGCACATCCCCAGTAGGGGATGTTCAGGAGGCAGCTGATCGGTGTTTCCAACTCTCTATCCCTCTCCCTTCCTCTCTGTAAAAAATGAATAAAATATATTAAAAAACAAACAAACAAACACCAGAGTGGCCACAGAAGAAACATTCAGTAGATATTCTCCCCCATAATTATGGAGTATAGGTACATTTAATTTCTTATCACTGTTACCTAATGGAGGAATTGCAAGTAAGACAGAGAATAAAAAAAAAACAGTAAATAGTATTTAGATAGCATTAATATAGGAGGCCACGAGTCTTGTGCGCATGTTTGTGTGTGTATGCATATGTGTATATGCATGTGCGTATGTGTTATGTGTGTGTGTGTGTGTGTGTGTGTGTGTATGCACATGGATGTGTCCTAGATGCTGAGGATAAATGTCAGTCACCACCCAATGGAAACTTTCTATGTGGACGTGCACACTCAATAGATATTATCAGAATTGCTGAGTGTATAATCCTATTTGAAGCTCACTATAACTGAAAGTAAGGCAGAGTAACTCATTTTACCAAGAAAAACAAAAGCTCTTTGGACTTATGAGGGACACAACTTTTGGGACCAGAAGACGGATTTCAAGGCCCAACCCCATGTTCCCCATTGCTGGCTGCCTTCTGAGTAGAATTTTGGGAGCTGCTTTCCCTTCTCTATATAGACTGTTTTCTAACCCCAAATGGTACTGAATTTAAGCTACTACTTAATGTGAATGCAACAAGCACTGGAAAAAGTACTCAAAGAATAAATAGAAAATGCAGATTCTCTTTTCCACGTGTATATTTCATAGCCTTGGCTACATCACCGAAACTTTTTGAGCCTCAGTTTCCTTCTCTAACTTCCTTCAGGGATGCTGTTAGAATTTAAGACTGACTATCAAATACAAGTTTGTCTGCAACATCCCATTCACTCCTCACAAGATCCTGACAGGAGGGTTTCTCCCCTGCCATTCCCTCACCCTCAATGGAGGAATGAAGCCTGTAAGCACAGGGCTTGGTAGCCCGTGTGGGGATACCAGAGAGAGCCAGCTCTCTCCATGGCCCTGGATGCACATTTGGAAGTGTTCTGTAAACCATAATATACTATAGAATGTACTGTTCTTACTGCAAAGGGAGTTTTCATCAACATTCACGAAATACACACATTGGTCCGTGGCTTATAAAAATAACCCCTCTTATCAATCAGTATGATGAACATTGCTTTCTTATTTCAGGCTGACCCATATGTTCTGTTCTCTTGGTCTTAATCCTCAACTGAGGATATTTTCCCATTGATTTTTAAAGAAAGTGGAAAGGAGAGGGAGAGAGAGATAGAAACACTAATGTGAGAGAGACACATTGATTGGTTGTCTAGACACATGGGCCCCAACTAGAGCCAGGGATTCAACTGTAACTGGTATGTGCCCTTGGCTGGAATTGAACCCGATACCCTTCAGTCCTTGAGCTGATGCTCTATCCACTGATGCAAAGCATTTTTTAAAAGTAATTCCATACCTCATAATGGACATTAAGGTTAAGTTTAGTCACATAGATCAGTTATCCTTTAGCTAAGGGAGATAACCTTAGCTAGAAAAATGTAACCAGCCTTAATTGTGGCAAAATATTCCTCTTGTCTTTACTTGGAAGTTAGAAACTGCCAAAAAAGATGACTACTTATTTTTTACAGAATTACAAATGTTCTGTAAGTTATTTATGAAAAAATGTGCTTTCGCAGAGAAATGGGGGTGGGGTATGGATTGTTTGATTTCTGGCTAGTTTGCTGAGTCATTAGTGGACCTAGTGCAGGCTACTTCCACCTCTGACTATAGTTCCATGGTGGAGGCAATGATACCAGTCATACATGGGATTCAAGTAGTTATTCAATATTATGTCTTAGCATTTATCTCCTTGTATAAAATTTCTTGCAAGAGGATATCGATTGTTATAAGTTTAACACATAAACATGACAAAAACATCGAGAATGAAGAAGTTTTCAGCAAGATAAAATCATCCCTAGGGAGTCTGAAATCTGAAATGGAAAAATAACATATTTTTGTTGGCTTTTTCAAAAAAAAGAATCTATCCAGGACTCAGTGGTACTAGGATATTATTTGACCTCTTTCCCCTTAATTTTGTTTCCAAAAGGCTCTTTAGGAATGGTGGGAGTGAACAGGGTTCATGGGAGGGAGGTTATGGACTTGAACCTTGAAAGTTGAGCAGGACCCCTTTTTGTTGACAGGAACAGATCTGTACAATGAGAACTGCAAGGCCTTTGAGGAAAGAAATTGAAGAAGACACAAACACATGGAAAGACACCCCATGTTTATGGATCAGAAGAATTAATGTTGTTAAAGTGTCCACACTACCCAAAGCTATCTATAAATTCAATGCAATTCCTATCAAAATTCTAATGGCATTTTCCACA